TACGCGAGTAAATCCGCAGCAACTAGGTAAAAGATTTAGATATTCTCAAAATAGTAAATTAGTTTAAAGCAAGAATATCTAGTTATATTCGCTTAATAAATAAACCATAGAATAAAGCTATCTTTTCTTGGGCTAAAGAATACAATAAAATTACTAAAACTGAATCTGATGACAATATTATACAGTATATTACATTTTTTAACTCTCTTGATAATAAAAACCTTTGTGAAATTGGAGTGTATCTCTGCACAGGATTCTGTTTACTGGTAAGTATATTGATTATTCAGTATTGTTAAATTGTTGACAATAATATGGATGGATAAATATAACTGGCACTTGGACAACAGCTTTAGAAGTAAGTATTTTCGAAATTAATACTTCCAACAAAATTTATGATTATAGACGGAAGTATGATCATATCATATCAGAAGTATATTTTCATTATTACTATCCTTGTTATGGTTTAGGATAATCAAGCTTAACAGCTACAACGCAAATATCATACCATAAACAATAGCACATGAAAGCATCAAGCTGTAAACAGCACTGATGCAAGTATGGTTTCTCACTAAGAATGATATGGGATAAAGATCAGTTTCGTCACAATTAGTATACGCACAATTACCACATGACAAGACTATTTTCATTTGAACTAAACACAAGGCTTAGACATAAATACTTAGTTCCTCTCCCACGGTCAGTAACCATAAATGATAAACGTTTCTTTAAGCATCTGAAGTAGAGTCAGTTGTTTTTTTTGTTAAAAAATACAGTATATTCTCTTAAATGGGTTCAATTATTGATCACAACTGTCAGATATCCCGGGTCCTTTTTAAATAAAATCAAGAGTATGAAAATTACAAATGTCATCATGATGGAAAGAGAAAAAAGTACATCTGATTCTACATATGAGAATTAGTCGTATAAAATTTGGATTCTTATGTTTACCAGTGTCAGTTTAAACCATCATTCTTAAATTTTCAGATATTGAATTCTAACAGACGAACAAGTTGATTGTGATCACGATGATGTAATTGATGTTAAGGCTGATTGTGGTGGTGAAATTTAAAATAGGCTAACAGATTGTGACAATTTCGATATCTAGTGGTATGAAGTGTTGAAATATAGATAATGTTGATATTGAGCTAGAGGTGAATTAATTCTGTCTTCGTGATGGTGCAGTGATTTTTTGGTGATAGAAATGATATAAGTTAATAGACGCATTGGTATATCTTGTAATACAAGCCTCTAGTCCATACTGGCATGATATTATACGTTGTCATTGATATTAGTAAGATTATCTATAAAAAATGTTTAGTAACAGACATACAACAGAAAACGTGATAAATTAATTCGTCACAAAATTTACGTAAAAAAATCCGAGTGGCAGAAATGTAAGAAATATGATGGATTGAATTCCAATATTTCAAATAGTAAGGATGAAAATAATAATTTTATCTTGACGAGTTCAAATGAAATTAATTTTGAACCGTAACTTATCGACAAATCATATGATAAAAGACAAGTTTTTATGTGCAACAAAATTATTATGGCTTTTTTTGAAATCAATAATATTTTTAATCATATGGAAGCTAATCTGACCTACTTGACCTAAAATTCAGGTTAGGTCAGTAAAATCATTCTAATTAAATGATAATACCTGTATAAATAGCATATCTAAATAGAATAGATATTATACAGGATGTGATGAACTCTCCTTGTAAAGAAGATATCTTGTT